CGGAGAGCGCTCGATTACACATACGACTCCAAGCTGTGACTTTTTTTCTGTTTTTTTTTTTTTTTTGCGCTTTTTGTCTTTTCCCCTCCAAGCAGTTTCTGGTGAGCTGAGTGATATATTAACGAGGCTGTATGGATATATATGATCGAGGTGGTATGGATATATATGCACAAGGCTGTATGTATCTATCCTATTGAAGCTGTATGAAAGTGTACGTATTAACGATGACGATACATTAACGACGATGACACCTGTCGGCAGTGTCGGGACATAGACGCGGCGCGCCTTGGCTTTGGAATTCATCATGTATGCAATGATCACCATTGTGCCACGTGGACAGCAATGCCATGATCACCATTGTGCCACGTGGACAGCAATGCCATGATCACCATTGTCACACGTGGACAGCAATGCCATCATCCATGCCATGTTCACCATTGTCAGTCTATTGCGGCCGCCGCCGTCTGCGCCGAAGGGTGTCTCCAACATTTCCTCATAATACTTAATTTGTACTGTACACACATCCCTCTCTATCACCCAGATATTCGTTGTCGTTGTCCCTTTTGTGCGCAAGGACGCTATCAGGGGACTGCATGATGGCGCGCAGTGTGATGAACGTCCTGCTGTTCGCTTGACACGTGGACACCAATGCCATGTCCTTTGTCAGGACTGTTTTGATGGGATGGGATGGGATGGTCCGTGCTAGCCGTGCTGCTGAATGCTGTGCTGGCGCAGCTCTCCTTTCTTGGGTACTATCCTTGTGAGCATCCACGTCATCATCCTCAGCGTGCTTGTCCTATCTGCCGGGGTGGGGGGGCCTCTTCTCTTCCTGATGGTCAAGAGCAACACGAATTATTGTAGGACAGATAAAGGTTTCGACACTACAAAGAGATACGGAGTGGAAGAAAGAAGAAAGAAAAAAAAAAAAAAAAAAAACGGAAAGTAAAAGATAGCAAATTGCTGAACGAAAAAAAAAAAAAAAGAAATGAAAATAATAATAATAAAATAATAATAATAATGTTGAACTTTGTTGTGACAGAAGCAATTGGTTTATCTGGGGGATGTGTCATTTGCTTTGTCTGACTGACTGATAGGCCTTCCTCTTCCTCATCCTCTTCCTCTTCCCTTGTCCTTTCTTTCTTTGATTGGATCTCTTTACTCTTTCTCTTGCCTCTGTGAGGTCTTGTTTCCTCCTCCTTTTCTTTTTGTATACCTCTTTTTGGCCTTTTGGCTGGCAGTGCGTGCAAGTGGGTCCTTGTGACACACGGGGATGGATGGGGTCAGCCAGCGCTCAACCTGTCATCCACGTGGCTGGCCTTGTACGTAAAAGGTGATGATCAGGTCGGGCTTTCCTTCTTTCTTTTTTTTTTTCTTTTTTTTCTTTTTTTCTTTTGTCTTTTTCCGCCTTTGCGCTCCCCGATTCACATTGTGACAATATATTAACGAGACTTTTTAGTTGGGATTGATTCTGAAGAGCCAAGAGATTTTCTGCGCTCTTCAGCGTCTTTTCTTCTTCCCCTGCTAAACTGTTTGGACCGCTGTGCATACTGGCCAGATACACAAGCGAGCGAGCGTGCGAGAGAGAGAGAGAGAGAGAGAGAGAGAGAGAGAGAGAGAGAGAGAGAGAGAGAGAGAGAGAGAGAGAGAGGATTGCCAAACTTGAGCCGCTGCAGCAAACGGAGCCGGTGCTCTTCAAGGTGGACGGCCTATGCGACGATTGTGTGCGACCGACAATTGTGCGACCGACGATTGTGCCGACCGACAATTCTGGGACCAGTCAATGTGGGACCAATGATGATTGTGTGCGAACAATGAGGGCGTGGAGGTGTTCGTATGGGCTGAGAAGGAGAGAGAAAGAGAGAGAGAGAGAGCCGAAGACAGCGAAAGCGTCGACTGTGTTAAAATCCGTCCCGTTCCGTTGCCGTCCGTTCCGTTAGTGGTGGCTGGTGTTCGGGAATGAGCAACTCGAGTGGAGTGCAATACCGCAGAGTAAGTTCGTTCGTCTGGCCCCTTGCCTTTCTTCTTGTGGGAGCTGTATTTTGTCCAGTGGCCGATTTTTTTTTATTTTTATTTTTTTTCCTGTTCATCTGATAGTAATTGGATTCTTTTTCCTGAAAAAAAAAAAAAGAAAAAAAGAAAAAGGATTCGAACTTGGGTCTGGGTTTTTAA